ACTCACTTCCAGCGTGGTGGCAAGTGTGCCAGTGCGAAGGAGCTGCTGCTCACAGAGACTCCTGTGAGTGGAGGCGAGAGGACACGGCGGCGCGGGGCAGGCAGCCCCTGGGCGCCCACGGGAGTTGGTGGTGTGCTGCAGTTGCTTCTCCCTCCAGAGGCAGGGAGAAGAGGCAGGTCTGGGGGTGCAGTGGTCACCAAAGCCACCTCTTCAGGTTCCTAGGGACAATGGCAAGACCAGAGCTTCAGAGTCTTTTTGAAAATCCTGTGTATCTGGGGACCCGAGTCCCCAAACTGCCAGGATTAAGGTAATAACGGGCCCGAGGGTCTTCCGTGAGGTCGGCAAGTCCCCTGGTGCTTCTTCTCCAGGGCGCCCGGCCATGGCAGGGTGAGGCCCAGCACAGGCGAGTCAATACGGCTAAGGCCGAGGACACTGCACAAGGCATGCAGGAGAAGCGACCCTGAAGGCTGAGCCCGGGTGGCACAGGACGGAGACCATTCAGCAGCGTTTTCTAACTTCCCCTTCCTGTGCATGGGTGGCAGTCGGCCCCAAGCTGGACTACCGCGTGGATTTAGCACATCTGGGTACATCAGAGAACTGGTAGGGCTGTGGGCACCAGAAGTCCCAGAACCAAGTGACTACAGAGTCACCCACAAGTGCACCTGCTCTAAGAAGAGAACTGAGAGCACACAGCAATGCAGCTGGCCGCCCGACTTGGTTAGCAGCTCTCCAGTCCCACGGAGGCAACGCGCTTGCGGTCGCCTGGGCTTCCTCAGCTGGGTGTGCAGAGCAGCCCCAAAGCCTCCCCAGGTCTCATCGTGGTGTTTCAGGTGTCAGGTTCCCGGATCAGCAAGGGGAATAGAAGCAAGGAAATATGGGTTGCAGAAAAGCACAGCTATCACAGAACACATATTCTAAGATCCAACTGCCTGGGTGACAGTCCAGCGAGGCCCCTTAACTGGCTGTGCAATGCAGGTTACCTCTCTACACTTCAATTTCTGTATCCAAGAGATGGAAGACAGGCATTTCTACTTCCAGCATGTGCTGTGATAGTACATGAGCTTCAAACATATGAAACCTTAAAATAGGATCTAGTGTGTACACAACAAACAGTGGGTTCAAAGCATCATACCTGCCGTACTGAGCTGTTCTGAGAATATGAGAACGTGGTATAGGTAAAGTACTTTGGGGAATCCCTGATAAACTTCATAGGTTTGGCTATAATTATATGACATGAATTATACTTTATAAAATATCAATCATATATATTTATTAGTCATATTGTAAGACTAACAAAAGGAGAAGAAATAATTATGAAATGTTTACTTAGCAAAAAATTTTAAAAATATTAGTTGGGTATCATGGTGACACATGCCTGTAATCCCAGCATTCAGGAGGCTGAGGCAGGAGGATCACCATGAGTTTGAGGCCAACCTGAACTACATAGTGAGACCCTGTTTCAAAAATGGACAAACAAACAAAAACTTTACTTGGCAATGTAAAAGCTAAGCAAGTACAGTTATTTATACAAATTACAGACCATTCATGCACAAATGCTGTGAAGCACAATGACAATTATGCATAGCATTAAGGCATCAGATGGACTTTGCTAACGGTTTGATTGCAGTGCTAACCTGAGGGCATATGCTTAGTGCTCTGTGTCTGCTACCTCAAGATGCGATCATCTGCTAAGGCAGCAGAGTCATCTGCTCACTCCATTAAAATAGTTGCAGGAGCCCTGCTTGCCCCAGACTTCCTTTTAATAGCCCCTCAAAATTTTTTTGAGACAGGGTCTCGCTATGTAGCCCAAACTAGCCTTGAACTCATGGCAAACCTCACAGCAATCCTCCTGCCTCAGTCTCCTGTGTGCTGGGATTACAGGTGTGCACCACCACACCCAGCTCCCTCAAAATGTTTTCCAGTCATCAGTTTTATAGAATCTTGATTTGGGTCTGATGATTCTTTCATTTTGTTTCAAAACTCTATGATTCAACCTATTTGTCTAGAGCATCCCTGTGCTCAAGGGAGCACATGAGGGGCTGCAGGGCAAACAAAGAGGACTGTGGTGGCAACCTGTATTTGTAGGCTGATACAAGGCAGTCAAGGGAAACCTTAGTATGATGCAGGGAAAATTTGCTGTGATATTTCAAGAAGTTCTAGCTGTAGCTTTATTGAAATACAGTACCATGCACATAACATAAAAGACCACACACACTAGTTTGAGTAAATTCACAGACTTATACGCTCCTCATCACACTCGATTCATCACCCCAAGAATAAAGCCTTTCTCCACTGTGTCCCTCTTCTTTTGCTCTCCTCTGACAACTGCCAACTACCTTTCCCAACCACTTTTCCTCTCCACTGTGTCCCTCTTCTTTTGCTCTCCTCTGACAACTGCCAACTACCTTTCCCAACCACTTCACACAGACAGGAGCAAACCATTTACCAATGGCCTTTTGTACCTGGCTTCTTTCATTCAGAATAATTTTTCAAGGTTCGTCCACTCTGTAGCATGTATCATTACTTTATTTTTTATGACTGAATAATATTCCGTTACAGACACACCACATATCATTTACCATACACCTGAGACATTTGGGTTGCTTTCATTTGGGGCTATTGTAAATATGGCTGCTATGAACACTAACGTACAAGGTTTTGTGGACATACGTTTTCAATTTCTTGAGTATACACATACCTAGGAGAAGAATTGCTGGGTTCTATGGCAACTCCTTATGTGACCTTTCGAAGAATGCCAGGCTGTCTTCAAAGTGTCTGCTTACCAATGACTGTGCGCACGCAGATTTCTCCACCTTCTCATCAGCACTTGTTGCCTGTGGGCTTTGTTAGTGATCTTAGTGAGTGCAAATTTCTGTGTCTCTGATGACCAAAGTACTGAGCATCTTTTCATGTGCTCATTGGCACTTGTATATTTTTAGAGAAACACTGATTCTGTTCTTCATCCATTTGTTAACTGAGTTGTTTTGTTCTTGTTAAGAACTTTCTCTGTAGGGGGTTGGGGATTTAGCTCAGCAGCACAATGCCTGCCTGGCAAGCGCAAGGTCATGAGTTCGATTCCCGATACCAGAAAAAAAAAAGGAACTTTCTCTATATATTCTTGATGTTCGTTGTCAGATATATGCTTTGAAAATATTTTCTCCCACTACTCCTTTTTTTCTTTTCTCTCTCCCCCGCCCCTTTTTTCTCTCTTTTTTTTGCAGGGCTTGGGATTGAACTGTGCTAAGCAAGTGCTCTACCACTGAGCTATACCCATCCCTGTTTTTTTTTCTAGTACTAGGGTTGAACCTAGGGCCTTCACACAGAGCTACATCTCAGCCCTCTTCCCACTTCTGATTTTGAGACAGGGTCTCAGCGGTTCTCTAAGTTGCCTGGGCTGCACTCAAATTTTCAATCCTCCTGTGTTGGCTCCCCAGAGTGCTGGGATTTCAGGCATGTGCCTACCACGCCCAGCTCCTCCTCCATTCTGTGAGTTTCATCATTTTCTTGATAGTGTTTGTTTGTTTTCTTTTTGTTATTTATTTATTTATTTATTTATTTATTGGTCTTTTTGAGACAAGGTCTCGCTATGCAGTTCAGGCTGGCCTTGAGCTCACTTTGTAGCTCAGGCTGGTCTCGAACTCCCAACGATCCTCCTGCCTCAGCCTCCCAAGTGCAGGGATTACAGGCATGCACCACCATGCCCAGGTTTTGTTTGAGACAGGATCTTGCTTTGTAGTGTAGGCTGCCTTGAACTCACTATATAGCCCAGACTGACCTGGAACTTGCAGTGATCCTCCTGCCTCAGCCCCCCGAGTGCTGCAGATCACAGGTGTACACCATCATGCCTGGCTTTTAAGGTATCTTTTGATTTTTCAAAGAACCAACTCTTCAACTCATTGATTCTGTTTATTGTTTTTTAAGTCTCCAATGCCTTGATTTCTGCCCTGATCTTTATAGTTTCTCCCCTAATCAAAATCTATTATCTTTATTTTCCCATTATGAGAGTAAGGTGGGGATTGGGTTTCGTTCCAGGGAGCTGGGAAGAGGGTGGGTATTACTGGAGGTGATGCTGGCCACAGGACTTGGCTGACCTCCTTTGTATAAGACACACACAGCACCTAAAACGTTCGCAATTTCCCAATAAAGTATCAATACTAACAAACTGGGGGTCTGCCATATGAAAAGATGAAAAAGGTTTTAATGAGAAAAGCCATAGAAAATCATAGACGACTATCAAACCCAGCAAAAGTAAGGCCACTTTAAAGTTTGGCAGGCAGAACTCAGTGAACGGAGGAAGCGCTGGTCTGTTGAGGGTGGGCTGGTGATAGTACCAGCAACGAGCAAGTACAAATTCCCGATAATTTAAATGAATTCACTTTGCCAGTGCCCATATGTGTTTGGAGATCCATTTCTTCTTTGTTTCCCTCACCAGCTCCCTTCCTTCCTTTTTTTCTTTACTGGAGATTGAACTCAAGGCCTTTAAGCTACATCCACAACCATTTTAAATTTTTTTTTTAAATTTTGAGATAAGGTCTCATTAAGTTGCTAAGTGGCCTGGGCAGGGCTTGAATTTGTGGTTCTCCCACCTCAGCCTCCCACAGTGCTGGGGTTACAGGTGTGTTGCCCGCAACACTAAGGACTTAAGATCAATACAAGTACTGAGAGTGTCCAGTACAGAATCTCGAGTTTATACTATCCCCTTACTTCACAGCAAAATAATATCAAACATCACTTCCAATTTACTAAGTAAATTATCTTTAGTAGATTATGCATAATGTTGCCTCGATAAAACTAGCTCCCAGTGCTGTGGCTGTAGCTTAGCGGTAGAGCACTTCCCTAGTATGTGAAGATCCCAGGACTGCAAAAAAAAAAAAAAAAAAAAGCAAAACTAGTTTCTCTTTCTTCCTACGAGTTACACTTGCTGAAGCAACCCTCACCACTCTGGAAAGCAGAAGCAAGTGGGCGTCTCTCCATTACACTCTGGCTGTTCTCTCTCCTAGGTCCGTGAACAATTTCCTGATGACTGGCCCCAAGGTAAGAAAAGAGTTCTTTGGTTAATATGGATATCAATATGCTTGATGACTAAAGACGATATGTGTCCATTTCTTTTCATTACATCTACAACTTTTATTACATTGTGCCACATACTACAGACAGAAAAGCTGAAGCCCAGCAAGAGTTAGGACACACCCAAAGCCACCCAGCAACCTAACGTTAGAGCCCAGAAAGCACTCAGGAGCACCAGTTCTGGATTTTTTATTGGAATTTCCAGAAATGTCAACAGGCTTCCATGGGGATCAGGCTGCAGTCGCAACTCCTACCCAGTGCAGGGGTGGGATGTGGTCCCCTCCTTAAAACGCTAGAATTGTACCACACGAACTCTGCAGAGAAGGGCATTTCCAGAGCCAAAGCATTGTCTGCTTTCTTAATTTTTACTTATTTATTGATTGACTTTGCAGTACTGGGTGCAGGCTAGGCCGGCACTCTAGCGCTGAACTATATCCCCAGCCCTTTCTGTCTTATTTCCCCCATCATCAGCCGCCTAATCTCCTCTCTCCCCCAGTGTCACATTTTTGGGGGTGTTCAATGTGCATAACCTGTTTTGCTCATATCCCTCCCCCACTATCTGCTCTTGTACCCCACATCCCTCTTATTCCCTCCCTCTTCTCTCCTCCTCCTTCTTCCTTCTGATATTGTTATTTATTTATTTATTTATTTTCTTGTAATATTTTTTAGATTCCACATATTAGAAAGAACATGCAATATTTGCTTTTCTGAGTCTGACTCACTCAGGTAATATGGATTAACATGATAATTTCCAGAGCCACCCATTTTCTTATAAATGACAGAATTTTGTTTCTCCTTGTGGCTAAATAATATTCCAGTATGCACATATACACCACGCTTTCTTTACCTGTTCCTCTGCTGATGGGCATTGTCTTAGTTACTTTCTCATTGCTGAGACAGAATGCCCTATACTCAAAGTTAAAGGAGGAAAGGGTTATTTAGCTCGCAGTCCACAATCCGCTGGCACCAAGGCAGGGTGGCACATGGCAGACAGGCATTGCAGAGGAGAAACAGCTCATGGCACAGCAGGGCAGGCAGGAGGCAGCAAGCAGCAACACTAGCAGAAGAAGCAACACCAGGTGCCTTCTTTCTGTCCCTTTTATTCCAGGATACCCAGTCTTTGGGTGGTGTCATCCACACCCAGGCGGGGCCTACCCATGATCCATGTCCAAAACTATGTCAGTCAGTGGGCTAGTTAATAATCACACACCCTTAATACCAGCATCACTCACCCTAGATCCAGTCACCTGCCATGACGCTTTGGAGGGATATCCAGATGGGAGCCATAACAGGCATTTAGGCTGGTTCCATGTCTTGACTATTGTGAATTATGCCGCAATAAACATGGGTATTCAAACATCCCTGTGGTATGCTGACATTAACTACTTTGGGTGGTGATATAGCTCTATTTTCAGTTTTTTGAGGAACCTCCATATTGATTTCCATAGTAGCCATACTGATTTATCAGCACCGTATAAGGGTTCCTTCCCCCCAATACACCCTCACCAGCACTTACTGTTTTTGTATTCTTGATGATAGCCACTCTGATTAGGGTGAGATGGAATCTCAATACAGTTTTGGTTTGTGCTGTGATTTATATCTAGGTGTTCTCCAAGTCTCACGCACTTATAGGTGGGGCAGGTGAATGGCTTATAGGGAGGGGTACTATACTGACTTGCTGTTGGGAGGTGAGATCTGTCAGAAGAGGCAGGAGTGACCTAGAAGGGTTTCTCTCCTTTTCCCACTCTTTCCTCCATTCTCTGCTTCCCAGCCAGCACAAAGGGAGCAGCTGTCCTCTGCTCTGCCGCTACACCATTCCGTCCCGCAGTGGCACTAGCCAACTATTGACTAAAATATGAGCCAAAGTAACCCTCTCCTCCTTTAAGCTGTAAGTGTTGGGTATTTTGTACCAGCAGTGAGAAAAGTGACTAAGGCAATTTGCACTTCCCTAATGGCTAAAGATATTAAGCATTTTTCATATACTTCTTGGCCATTTGCATTTCTTTTGAGAAACATCTATTCAACTAATTTGCCCATTGATTGATTGGGCTATTTGATTTTTTGGTGTTAAGTTTCTTGAGTTTTTTATATATTCCAGACACAGTGGTGCCTCAGTTCACGAGTGCTTCTGTTTGCAAACAGTTCAGTTCATTAACAGAAGCAGTTGGCACAATTTTGCTTCCATGTGTGAACTCATCAGGTGACCCTGAACCTTATGAGGAAATCTGATTCAGCTAATGACCAGTTAGGATTGTGACCAGAATCGTGTCAAAAATTAAGATCATGAATTGAGGTACAACTGGCTCATGACCAGTTAGGTACAACTGTAGCTGGAAAAGACCGTCTGTCATTCAGAGTGCTCTCTCCTCATTCTGTTAGCTGCCTCCCTTGCTGAGTAGAAACTTTTTAACTTGATGTGCCCTTATTTGTTGGCTCTTGTATTATTTCCTGGGCCGCTGCAGTGCTGTGCAGGAAGTCTCTGCCGGTGCCTATGGCTTCAAGGGTTTCCCCTATGTTTTGTTATTTTTTTTTTAGCAGTTTCAAAGTTTTAGGTCTTAACACCTAAGTTTTCGATTCATTTTGAATCGATTTTTGTACAAGGTGAGAGCTAGGGGTCCAGTTTCCCCAGCACCATTTATTAAAGAAACTATTTTCTCCAGTGTATATTTTTGGTTCCTTTGAGACAAGGTCTCAATAAGCTCCCCAGGCTGGCCTCAAACTCTCGATCCTCTAGCCTCAGCCTGCTGAGTAGCTGGAATTACAGGTGTGTGTCACCAGCCAAGCTCAAAATGTTATTTTCTAGCTCAGTAATGGGATATGCATAGCTAAAAATTCATGAGTTATATGACTGGGACTCATTTTGGAGAGACAGTTTATACAATGAATAAAAGCTAGTGGGAGCTAGAGTCTAAAAAAGTTTCTTTCCTAGTTCTGCCATTTGCTAGCTAGGGAACCTTGAGCAATTTAGTTTACTTCTGCTCTCTAAGCCTCAGTTTCCTAATCTATAAAATGGCCCTATTTCACAAGGTTATTTGTAGCATTAAATGAGACAGCATAAAGTGCCCATTCCATCATCATTTTGGAGGGATGGCCAAGAAGTTTGGGGCAAACGCCTCCTAAATTCAGCCTGGATCTTGACCCCTGTAGGCTTACCTGATCTACTCCAGCAGTGTGGCAGCTGGCGCCCAGAGTGGCATCGAAGAATGCAAGTATCAGTTTGCCTGGGACCGCTGGAACTGCCCTGAGAGGGCTCTGCAGCTGTCCAGCCACGGAGGACTTCGCAGTGGTAAGGACAGGCCTGGCCAAACTCCCTGGGTCCCCAGTCACAGGCTGGCGCCCTGGGGATGGCACTTTTCTTCCCCTCACCTTTTCTTCACCTCCCATCTTCTCTCAGGACAGCTCCCTCCTCTCAGATCTTCTCTTTCTCTCTCTGCCTCCACTTTCCTACCTGCAGAGTGTTTCTCTTTCTACTTCAACACCCTCACTGCCCAACAAATGGACCCTGTCTCACCTCCAACCCCATTCTGTCCTTGGCTGCCCAGTCAGCTGAAGGTTTCCAGACAGCAGAAGTACCATCAGGAGGTGGGTCAGAGCCATAGTCACTCACACCTTTCAGCCCCTTCCTCCAGCAGGCTCAGCAGAGGGGCACTGGGCCAGTGAGAATCTGGGCCGGGAACCAGAGTCCCAGAGAGAGGGTAAGTAGGGACCACACCGGTAAATGGAAGAGCTGCCCAAGAGATTCCTCTGTAGATCAGCTGAGCTGCGGCCTGGACTCCGGAGTCTCAGGAGGGAGTGAGGATGGGGCCTTTACAACGTGGCCTTCACAGTCCTGTCCATTTTCTCCTCAGCCTCTTTCCCCACCTCAGTCCTTCATAATCAGGTGTGTCAACAACAGTGTGGCCACCTAGTCGTGAAATGTATGACCCGAAACATAGGAGAAGTATAGGGCTGAGGCCAGCGACGGCTCAGATCCTGGAAGAGGGGAAGGCACCCTAAGAGACAGGCTCCAGGATGGGCCGGGGAAGGCACTAAAACCAGGTAGCTGGGCTGGTGTTTCTTCGGGCTGCGACGTCTCCCTCTAACTCTCGGGCTCCCCGGCTCCTGCCAGCTAACAGGGAGACCGCGTTCGTACACGCCATCAGCTCTGCTGGGGTCATGTACACTCTGACAAGGAACTGCAGCCTCGGGGACTTCGACAGCTGTGGCTGCGACGACTCCCGGAACGGGCAACTGGGTGAGTGCGTCGCGCTGTGGGCAGAAGTAAGCCAGCCAGGTAAACGCACTTCCAGGGCGACAAGCCCGGTGGGAGGTGGGTCGGGAAAGGTGTTCCTTCTGAGTTAGGGTGAGAGCTAGGTCGTGCGGGGCACACCTGTGACCCCCGCCTCGGCAGGCTGCGGCAGGAAGGTGGAGAGCGCGAGGCCAGCCCGAGCTGCGCAGCCACACTTGGTCACGCGATGAAAAGCACGCTGGGAGTGAAGCGGCTTGAGCCTACATCTTACACTGAAAAACCGGACTCCACGTAGCGAGGGGCCCTCCTTTCCCGTCCGCGGTCTCTCTCGACACAGTATGACGAGGTGGCCGGCGGAACAGGGCCCGCACAGCGCCGTGCCTCCGCGCTCACACCGGCGCCCTCCCGGGCCTCTGCTTCCCCGCTCGCCTCCGCCCGGGGCCCTGCCGCTGCGCTCCAGCCTCCTCGCCGCGCTCTCCC